ACAACAAAAAAGAGCTTAATATTTTCTAAAAATGACTAAGGAGATAAAATAAAATAAGCTAACCGAACAAAGAACTGGGGCAGAGTTTAACAAAAGGCTTCCCTACGAAGTTTTAGAAACAGACTATCAGTAACAAGTAGTATGATGGATGGAAGGAATGAACTGATAATGTCAAATCCATCTCACAGATCTTTGAGAAAGAGGAATTAAAGTTGCTGCACCAGACATTACAATAAACAACTTCCTGTATGAACCAGGTGGCCAAATTGCTATGATTTGGTGTGGGGCAATTGTAAGGGGGGAAACCCTGTCTTCTTTGAGCTGCACACTTCTTAAAAGTAGAATTCCCTCACACTCTTGCTCATCCTACTTTTAACTTCTCCGTCCTTCAGTTTATTTCTTGAATCTGGTTGGGGGACAACTAGGCAGGAAAGGAGGGGGACACATAGCTTTCAACAAAGACAGATTTGATGTTACACCATTCAGGCATCTTTTTAAAGTTCAGTTTTGGCTTATATATACAGTCAAATGCATGGAATACTTTACAGGAAAACTATTATGAAAGAAATCTGCGAATGTTCTCTGGTGAGATTTTTTTCCACATGTTTTTGCTGTTTGCATGTAAATAGCTTTTTAATGTCCTATGAGTTGTGTGTATGTGGTGAGTGACTTAGGAAGACAGGCTTCTAAATGGGATCTTTGATCTCAAGCATTTATTTTATCTCTGTAACAAATAAAACTAAATGGAGTTGGTGGCTGAACCAAGTCCTCTTTTTCATCTGTACTGCAGCTGCTGCCTACATCTAGGATGATATCTGAGCCTCTCTCTCTTAGCTACCGCCCACATCTCCAGATGCTGTAATAAGCTGTGAATACCAGGCCTTTTAGCTCTTCTTGAAATTAAATCTTCACATGACTGAAACCTTCACAGCCATTTTCTTTTGTGCTATGCGTAATCTTTCTCTTCTGTAAAACTAAGCCCACCATGTAAGTGGCCATCATAAATAATGGGAACAGAAAACCTAGCCGTCCATCTGCTTCAGTTTATTATTTAGACGGGCAAACAGTATCTTACTATGAGAGAATTCCTTAAATTAACAGTGCAAATATGGATTACACTATAGGACACTTCATTATGTTCAGAAGTAATGGGAGACATTGAAACCGGATGGGAAACTGTGGTTTCCTGCTACATGAGCAGCGAGCCTCAGATTTTCTCACTCTCTACTCCTCTTTTGTGTTCAAGAGATTGGAGACAACCATATTTCATTATTATATTACATTTCTAACCCACCACTCCTCCTCCATGTTGTATCCTCATGCTGGGTAGTGATGGGCCCAAGTGAGCTTCATGGATGAGTGGGGATTTGAACCCTAGTCTCTGAGGTCCTGGTCCAACACCCTACACCCTATTGACAACACCATGCCCTCCCAATGTGGGAATCCCTATCAAGCTCTGGACATTGGTCAAGAATTATGGGAGTTGTAGTCCAACAACTGGAGGGTCACAATCCCAATTTTTGGTTTAAACAAACCACAGTTATTTGCACATTACAGGGAGTGAAGACTTCTTTGAAGTGGCAGTGCTTAATCTTCTCTGACGCACAAAAGAGAAGGAAGCATAGAATCCCAAGGCTTGTTCTCAGAATGGGAACTATTTTCTTGTTATGGCTGAACCATCCCAATAAGTCACAGCATTCATTTGCTAGATACATCTACAACAAAGTGTTATGGAATTTTATTTGTTTTTAGTAATAATGAGAAAGTTAACTTGTAGGGGGGATGTTGCAGCCCGAGGCTGCACATCTAAGCATAAATACTTGGAAGTGAGTTACAACTGAAATCTATTGTTCTTAATTCATTCAAGTCATAATAAGCCTGGAATGCAGGGCTGTCAAATACTGTTTTATCTCTAGAGCAGGGAAGCCGGAAAGTCTCCAAATCTACCCAAGGAGATGACCCAATGGCTTGGTCGAAAAGCCTGCAATATGTTTTGAACAGCTTGCATTCTTGGTTGTCAGAGAATCATTAATTATTTCTTTAGTTTTATGGAACAGCAGCACAATCCTATGAGCAGCATTGTTGGCAAATAAGCAGCTAAAACAGGTGGCACAACTCCTGGCCCAGCAGAAGTGAGTTGTCACCATATCACTATGACAGTTTGGTGGCCAGGGCCTTTTTAGTACCAAATGGACATGGCAAGACCACTAGAGGTAGTTTTAAATCCAAACGACCTCACCCCATAGGCTCACCAAGTTTCAAAGGCATGATCTGCTAGAAAACAAACCAAGCTTTGGAGAAGCAAGCCATGATGTGTATTTTTGTGGGGGCAACTTCTGATTCACTCATGGTTTGCTATGTATGAACTGGTCAGAAACTAGAATTTTCCCATTCTTTTGGGAGTTTCCTGTAGTCATCTGGAAACATGTAACAGCTCTCTTATAAGTTATAACACAGAAATTGCTCTTATTCTCCTGGGTACCTTCAAGTGGTTTCCATTACAATTCCAAGATACCCAGTTAACACTGTTTACAGAATGGAGACGAAGCACTGCAGCACTTATTCAAATACAATTCTGTTGCTATATACTCTATCATGCTAACCTAGGACAGCGTATCTGCATCGGAATGTGTCTTGGCATGGCTCAATTACAGTTGTGGGTAATAATCACCACCACCATAGCAGCCACATTTGCACTCAACTGCTCTAGAATGCAAAACTGAGTGGAATTAAAGAGCGTTAATGGTGGAACCTAGAGAGGCCAACTCACTCAAGTAACACTCTGTGACAGGGATGGGAAACCCTTTTCAGCCAGAGGGCTGCATTTCCTCAAGGACAACCTTCCAGAGGCCAGTAGTGGCCAGTAGTGGCTGTGACCACAAGCAAAAGGAGGTGTAGCCAGGGCCAGGTGCAGCAACAGACGTGAGATACATTTTAGCTATGCAAAGACCAGAGGTTTCTACGCACCCACAGCTTCCAGTCTAGGTAAGAAAGAGGTATTATCACTGTTCAGGTGCTAGGAAACAGCACTCAAGGAGGACACAGAGCAAGGCCAAAGAGGGCATGGCTTGGGGAGAGTCCCATGGACCAGACAGAGAAGTCTGGAAGTCTGGATTTGGCTTCCAGGCTTGAGGTTCCCCACCCTTGTTCTATGACATTAGGCCATCAGAGTGGCAGTGACATTGGTATAACTAATCTTTTATGCCTGTGCGTGTTTATGCATGTTGCCAAACCAATTCTACTCTCAGGGTAGCCAGTTTGTTTGCTGTAGGCTCCGTTTCTGTAGGATGAAGTGTAATTCCACCCAGCCTCACTGGTAGCAAGAGCTGGGTATTGGGTTGCAACCATATTGCGTTGGAAACAAACAGTAACAGAGGTGAGATAACCCAAGATACCCCTCCACAAAAGAAAAGGTTATTATGTCATCACATACACTTAAAAAAACCTCTTTATAGACTTTACTTTTATAGAATGTTTTAGATTTAAGCAGAAAATGGGTCAAAACAACTGCATGCATATAAAATCATTCCAGAGAACAAATGATGGCTCTGCTTTGCACATGACCTTGGGGAGAGCCATAGTTCAGTGGAAGTTTAGTGCCAGAAGCTCCCAGTTCCTGGAATCTCTTGATCCAGGATCTCAGGAAGTTGGGCTTCCAATCCCTTGGAATACATGACCTTGCTACAATCTGTATTGTGCCTACCCACTTCTGAAGTTTAGTGATTATTTTGAAAAGTTCCACCTTGAACCAAAAAGTCAGATACACTTGATGAAAGAGTTGAACCATCTTTTAATTCACAATAAAAGCACTGCATGGAAGAGTACAAAGAATTTGAACACACACGTGTTTTACACAGGGATTTTCAGGTCTCAGGTGAAACGAAACTCTCTCCATGTCAAGATCATGATATATTCTCCACCTTGAGTACTGGGTCCTAAGAACAAAGACGTGTTGAGCATCCCCATAATTTTTAATCAAGTGCAGGCCTGTCAAGGAGTTTACCAGCTCTTCCAAGACTTAGAGCCTTTTGAAGACTCATTTATAGCCTGGCGAATATAATTATTTCCATTTTTGCCAACTTGTGATTGAACATTTCTCTCCCTTGCCATCCCATACTTCCTCCCCTAAACCCTTCTACTCACAGTGACAGATCCCTAGGGACAAATCTAGTTTTAGCCCTCAGATGCATGCAGATAGAGAAACACATAAAAGAATGATCAGACATGAGATAATGCCAAAGAATGTTTTCTGAGATACACATTTTACCTTCATGGATGTTTCCCTGCTCTTTATTATGGTTCTTCAAAGCTTTCTTAGATGCTTTCTTTGCAGTTATTCATAGAGTATATCTGAATTATATGGTCCCTTTACCTTTGCTGTAGTCACTAAATTACAAAAGGTGACAGGCAGACCACATAAACACACAATACACTAAGAAAGCTCCTAAGAAAGCTCAACTGAAATCAGTAGAAGCCACACAAGAGAATGATGTAGCTTGAAACTGCATGCTCCATGTTCCATTTCTCATGTAAACATTCAGACTGATTTCCATCTCCTTCACTTATAAGGTTCCATTGGCTTCTATGTTGCCAACAGACTGACCATCAAAGACTCTGTAGTCTATCCTTATGTGAAACAACAGCGGAAGCCACATTGAACGTTCGGCTTCCAAAAAAACGTTCAAAAACCAGAACACTCACTTTCAGGTTTTGATCGTTTGGGAGCCGAAACGTACGAGTACCAAGGCGTTCAACAACCAAGGTATGACTGTACTCACCAAACTGTCATTTAGCTGAGATTTACCAATCTCACAGGCTCCTCTAAACAAATGTAAATGTAGAAATAATTTACATTGCAGAGGAATTGTCAGTTGGAGAACAACTGCTCCAAAGCCCCTCCCACTTGTCACTGCTACAGAACACCCCCAATATGTTACAACACTCCAGTACCCAATTGTTAATAATTGGGACTCATTAGCCCAATAAAGATCTGCTGCAGGAACAGTTTAATAGTATAGATTTATTTCATTTTATTAACACCTGCCCCAACAAAGAAATACACTCCAGTGTAGCTCACAACAAGCAACACAATAAAAAAGACAATCAAAATATTAACACAAATACCTTCATTGTAACACTTTTGTGTGTTTTATTGGAGCCCCAATAAAAATATATACTGTGAAACTTACTTCGATGTAAATTATTTCAGGAATCGTAAAATAATCATACAATAAAAAAGAAATGCCAAATATAAAAGTATGTCCTGCAGCCTGCCTTTTATTTAATGCAAAGTATTTTGAAATATTAGCTTATGTTTCATACTGTACGTTACATCTAATTTTAAGTATATTTTAGATTATACTGCAAAGTAGTTTTTAACAGAGTAAAATGGGACAACAGTAGTGGCAATATTGCTTTTGGACTAGTGAAAATATAATGGCTAATGTCAAATAAAGAACAAAAACGAACAGTACAACATACAACCTAGATGATCAGGGATTGAGAGCCCCTTGCCATCAAATTTGCAAGAGACATAAATTCTAACAGCCTCATTTAAACTGTTTATTCCTTCCTTTAGAAATAATTATTCATATCATCGAATATGATCACAATCTAGTTCTTCTGCTGATATGCATGCAACATCATACAGAATTTAGTGCAAATTAGATTTTCTAAGCTATCACTCAAGTTAATTAATAGAAAGTCATCTCTCATTTACCATTAAATAAATCTCTAATTCATTAAAAACAATGTCTGGTCCCTTCTGTGACATCTGATTAAACACGGCTACAGAACTGAACATGCAAGGACACTATTTTCCAGTTTCAAAAGGAATATCACATTTAATTAGCTTTTATTGCACACATACAAATATACAGCACACCTAGATCTGTCAAACTTTATAACATAGTTTTCTCAAGAAAAAAAAACACATAGACATTAAGGAAACATTTAACATTTGTTACTGTAACACAAAAGCAAAGCAGTGGATCCAGAATAAGTTCCCCTAACGTCAATGGAACCTAAGGCATGACTAGCATCCCAGTGAATTTGATGGGAGTTAAGTGTATCTAATGTAATCTCGAAGATTCATCCCACAGAGGAACTTTCCCCAGCCTGATAACCTCCAGACAGCATGGCTGAAAGTCAGGGCTGATAGGAATTGTAGTCAAAACCACCTGGGTGGTACTAGGTTGGGGAAGGCAGTCACAGAATATTAATTTTAAAAATGTGTATCATGTTTTTAAATAACCATGTTGCACATTCCTTTTGAAATACTTGCTTTTGGCACAGAACAAATGCATCCTCTTCCACTCAATCCCTGGTAAAAAGAAAATAAATGAACCCTGCACACAATAATTATTCATATACACTACAATAGTGAGCACAGGGAAGTTCAGCTAAACTTTAGTAGCAATAAGACCTGTGAATTGAATATGTGGGTCAGAGGATACCTCATATAGTTAAACATGTAACTATTTGATCTTTTCCAACACTGCAACCCATCAATTTTACATTTGACCCATATAAATTATAGGATCAGTGGTAAACTTGTGTGTGTGTGTGTGTATGCGCGCGCGCGCACATAAACACATATCCAGATTTCACTCTCTAGTGGGTACAGAGGTTTGCAATGGAAAAGCTGATCAAGATATAAACCAGAAACATATGTGCTGGTGAAAACAAACAGCAAATGAAAAACTGCTGAGTCCCAAGGAAATATAGTATGAAAACCCCAAAAACTACACCAGCAGCCCATTCTGAGCTGTGGATGCAGACAATTCTGTATTTCATAAAAGGGGTAAAATAGAATCTGGCACAGTTCAACGTTTCTACAAAGTTGTGCCTAATGTTAGAGAACTTAAAGGCTGTTCTCCCAAAATGAGCCAGTTTATTCACCATCATGTACTTCTTACCCGTTTATTAAATCAAAGTGCTCTTGTAATATGCAATGTCTCCCTTTGAAAAGGCAAGCCCTGAACTAATGTCAACACCTGGATAGCTTATCTGGAATTAAAAGGAACTCTGCTCGAGGAGTTCAAGCTGTAGATTATAACCGAATTGCCAGGTTTCGCACAGGTACTTTCAAACTTTGTAAGGGACATCACAGAGGATGGAAAATGTCAATGCTTAACCAGACAATGACTCAGATTGTGTCACAAAGTAGTTGAGCTACGTAGCACACAACACCTCGGTATTTTACATCAAGTGATCAAGATACATTTGATTCAACAACTACGATTCGCACAGCACAGAATTTTCAAGCGTAAAATCGTACCAAAACCTTGTTAGGTTGTCATTGACATCATAGGAGAGCAACGGTCTGGGGAAGTCATTGCATGCGTCTTGCGCTGCCAGAACATGTGGTGCAAGCGTGAAAGGTACATCACTGAGAAGTTCCAACATAGAAGGTTGGCTTTCCATGTTCTGATTTTTCTCTGTCCCCACCTCAGGCAACTTTGGTTGATTCTCTGAATTTGTCTAAGGAAACAGAAGAGAGAAAAAGAGAGAAAATGGATATTATGAACGCTGTACTTGTTCACAGTGGCCTTCTTGCGCGCCGTCGTTGTGAACTGGCTTGAATAAAATTGAAACAGTCAATTCATGCCATGATGTGGCCCCAAGCAAAGCTGAAGCCATAATCGCAGGTGACAAACGAAGTGCCTCCTGTGAATTTTGTGCTCTGGGAAGACAGGGAACATTTGTGTGCGAGGATGGTAACACAGTGTCTACGTCGGCACTGCTGTTAAATGAGCATCTCTCTTTAAAAACGCAGCTGCACAAAGCCATTACTTTAACCAGATAGTGATCTAAAGAGACAAGCGTTATTCTAGAGGTTCCAGTATTCATTTACATGACTCAATCCTGTATCAGCAACTCTTAAATCAGATTACAGGGGCCTTTCCACACAAGCAGCTTACTAGACTATAAATGTGTGTGTTTGTTTCTCTTTGGTGTACGTTGCCTACACGCAAGATTGTCCTCCGGTCACATGGAATACTGCGTTTTTCAAGAGCAAAAAACAATAACATTTTGCAGCTGGATAATCTGATGCTTTCCCCAGACAGTGCATTTATTGCTATTGTGATTAATAAGCAGGGGGAAAGTGGCCTGAAGGAGGAAAGGTCACAAGGCCTCTGTTGTTAGTAGTTTCCCCTGAACAATAAGAGCAACTGTGCATGCTGGATCAGAGCACCGGTCTACTTTCCCCTGTAAGAGAAAACATGCTGTCAGGCATGATGTCCTTGTTTAACGGCATAAAAGAGAATTAAAATCCCTAGAGTCTTGTTTTGTTTGCTAAAACTACACTCCAGGGAACACCTGCTTGCAGTTTAATTGTTGCACAAATGTAGGACTTCAAATAATGACCCATATTAATATAGCATGTGAGGGAAAATATGTTTAAAGTTAACTGCACTCATTTGAAAAAAAAGCTGGAGAAAGGAAGGTAACTTCATATGTTGTCCTGTCCCATTTGTTCCTCTTTCTTACAAGTGGAATGAAATGGATTTGGAAGAAATGCCATGCTGACAACAATAGAAGTTATTCTTTTATACAGCAGCGCTGCAAGCAGTAATGAATGATTTACAAAAATGCTGTTCTGAATCTTTAGCAGACAAAAGAGAGGTTAAGCTCTTGTTTTCAAATGGCTAAACACCCTAATTATGACAATTTGCAATGTATTGTTTCATTCCATCTCGCTTTTACAGGCACCCTGCCTCTCCTCTTCTGGTGTTGGGTTCCACACCTAGTTCATTTGGCTAAAGAAGGATTAACATTTCAGTCCTGTGGGCCATGTATGCAAGAACCACAGCTAACATTTCTGAAAGCCATGGCGTTTGAGAAACACAACACTTTTATAAAAGCAGGAAATGAACTTACCAGAAAATTCTATCGTTACCAAGTTAAGGCTCTGTGCTCCTACATCTCAAACAGAAGAAAATGTAAGCTAAACTTAAGTAGGGGAAAACATCTGCTTCTATGTGCATCTTATCAATCCATTAGGTTTTCTGGGGGCCTTGTTTGGTAGACCACCACTATCAGAAGTAAGGCTGGCCATGTCTGTGAAAAGGGTAGCAGGACCGAATCTTTTCCCCTTCATCACTCAGTAGCATCATGAAAGCAGCAAAGACTGTGTTTCATAAACACTTATGGAGCAGTATTTAAATGTATCAATGTGCTGGGTATTATGAATTTATAAACATTTTAATGTCATTTTACTGTGCTTAGTTGTATTTTGTAGTGAATGAGGCCCATCCTAGGACCATCCACTATGGAGAGACATAAAGAAACACTCTCGCCTACACATATGCAATCTAGCCTGAATATGATGTAAAATGCATTAACTATAAGATTCAGATGCGGGAGGTAGTGGAGGACAGAGGTGCCTGGCGTGCTCTGGTCCATGGGGTCACGAAGAGTCAGACACGACTAAACAACTAAACAACAACAAAAATAAGATTCAGAAGCCTGAAATTGCCATGACCTAGAATTGTATATACACCTCCACTACCAATTCTGCATTGTAAGGCACTCATTTTTTCCGTATCTCAATTTCCTTCTGTTTTGCTTTCGAATTTGGTCCTTTTCTGACATCTTTTTAAATCATCCTATTAAAGGAAAAGTGCTTCTCTCCTTTTTAGTAACAAATCCCTCTTCATTCTCTCAACTGCATTGCTGCAATACGAGGAAATGGTAAGGCAACAGCAACAACCCAGTTGCGTGAACTTCTTTTCCTCCTTGCAAGAGTTTGCTTTATAAAACCATCAAGAAGCAAAGCTCATTGGAAAGTAGGGGAGAGGGGAGGGTCTCAAAATCCACTGACTTGCTTCCTTGGTTTTCAAACATCAGATGGCTCTAATTAACTGTTTCCGCTTCAGTCTGTGCAAACCTTGCACATTCTAGGAAGAAGCATATTGCTTTTCCCCATCTCTTAATAAGCACATGAGCTGTCATGTGCAATCAAAAGTACATCACCAAATATATCTTCTTCCCATATTATGCTATGTTTTCCCTATGAGAGTAACCTGCAGAAACCATGCCATGAAATAAAACCATAAAGCAGAAAATGGCTCTTAAGAGATGGGCAATAAAAATGTCAGGAGTTCTGTAGTTGAAAATTAACAGCTTCAAATGATAAATAAACAACAAACAAACAAACAAATAATAAAAGAGATATGGAGACTTTGTGAAGTTAATGCTACTTCTATTTGGTCCTTTAATTTATCTCTCTTCAGATTACATTACAGTGGTGCCCCGCAAGACGAGCGCCTCGCAAGACGGAAAACCCGCTAGACGAAAGGGTTTTCCGTTTTGGAGGCGCTTCGCAAAACGAATTTCCCTATGGGCTTGCTTCGCAAGACGAAAGCCCATAGGGAAATCTCCGGGACAGCGGGGAAGCGCAGCGCGTCTTCCCCACTGTCCTTGGACCTCCTCCAAAGCCTGGCGGGGGGGGGGCGGAGGGAAATAAAGGGGGAAAAATTTATTCCCCCACCGCCAGGCGTGGGGCTGGGGCGGGGGAAGCCCGAGCTTCCCCCTCCCCCAGAACGGGACCCAGAGCCATGCCGAAGCTTGGCATCGCTCTGGGAGCTTGCGGGGCTGGGGGAGGAGGAAGCCCTCCACCAGCCTCCAAACCATGTCGGGAGACAGCGGGATGGCGCGCTGCGCCTCTCCCGCTGTCCCCCGAGTTTGCGGGGCTGGCGACGGGGAGGAGCAGGCTTCTCCCCCGCCAGCCTTCCAGCCAAGTCGGGGGACAGCGGGAAGGGCGCGTTGCGCCTCTCCCGTTGTCCCCCGAGTTTGCGGGGCTGGCGACGGGGAGGAGCAGGCTTCTCCCCCCGCCAGCCTTCTAGCCAAGTCGGGGGACAACGGGAATGGCGCGCTGCGTTTCTCCGCTCTCCCGGACGGCTTTCAAAAGCCTGCCTTCAAAAGCCGTCCGGGACAGCGGAGAAACGCGCTGCCTTTCTCCGCTCTCCCGGGAAGGCAGGCAGTGGGGAGCAAAGACTTTTGCTCCCCCCTGCCTGGCGGGGGGGCAAAAGTCTTTGTCCCCCCTGCCTGCCTTCCCAGGGGATTTTAAATCGCCCCGGACAGGGAGAAGTCCTCCGCTGTCCCGGGCGATTTTAAAATGCCGCCCGCCAGCATTTTAAGATCGCCCCGGACAGCGGAGAAGCCCTCCGCTGTCCCGGGGTTTTTTAAAATGCTGGGGGTGGGAAGAAAAGCCCTTGCCCCCCCCAGCCTTCAGAAGAGGTCGGGGGACAGACTGTCCCCGGACCTGGTCTGAAGGCGGTTTCCCTAGGAACGCATTAATTGATTTTCAATGCATTCCTATGGGAAACTGTGCATCGCAAGACGAAAAACTCGCACGACGAAGAGACTTGCGGAACGAATTAATTTCGTCTTGCGAGGCACCACTGTATTCTATTTAAATTTGAACAGTTATGAATGCTCAATCAAATATATTCTAAAAGAAATATTGTGTAGGAAGTTCCGTGTAAATAAAGGATTTTAGGTATACAATTCCATTAAAAAAATATTTTTAATGCATATTGTATGGTAAACATGTGTGGATTCTTATGTAGGGCAAAGAAGCTGTGTTAACTGCCCCAACGAGATTTAAAACCATGGGTTGTATCCAATCACGCTCCTCCAAAGATAGAAGGCTCTTTGAACTAGCAGATTTTTCTGTGAATAGAAAGGGGGGTGATTTCCACAAGTTCTCCTTCTTTCCTGAAGCCCACACCACCCCAGCTGTCAGGAGCAGACTGTGGGGTGGTGGAAGCAAGAGGGGACTACAGAAGGAAGAGGGGAACAAACAAAAATCATTTCCCCTCTTTCCCCTCAGGGAAGTCTCTGCCAGATCAGGGAGTCTTCTGTGAATAAAGGGACACAACTGGATGCATGTATCATTTAGAGACTACTACCTAGCACACTGTTTCATGTACTTAACTCTCAAAGAAGTTAACAAGTCTGAAAAAGTTGTGTGGATAACCTTAGGGGACTTCATGCTGGCATTGGGATGGGCCAAAGGCAAAAATGAGTGGAGCAATTAATGTCATTACACACACACACCTCCCTCTGCTATCCAGGTAAGCAAAAAGCATTATGGCAGCTCAAGCACACATGCCAGCCAGGCAAAACCATTCAAAGAGGGTTGTCGATCAGGAAATGTCCGGGAGTGGCCTAGGAAAAGTCCCAAGGGCCTGATATGAGTGTCCAGGAAGCCACATTTTGCTCCCAGCCTGAGGTTCCCCATCCCCATCCTAGAGATATCCTGGAAGCTTGGGCCTTTCTGGAGAGTTCTGCACCCATTGCAGCTGTCTGAAAGCCAGTGCTATCTTTCTAGAAAAAGAGGTTCCAGAACTCACCATGAACGCCTCCCTTGTTCTCTTATAATGGCAATGGCGCCCACCTGGGAGGTGCAGGAACTCAGTTCCGGTGAGTTCCAGTTGAAAAAAAAACCCCTGCTGCAAACCCTAATCCTCCAA